GTTAAAAGAAAAAAAAATTCCTGTATCCGCATCGTGATCTGGAACATCACCAAAATTTAAAGGTGTGTCCCTTGGCCAGTATCCACATGTGGTAAAAATGTCATAACAATCCATCCACAATTTTTTGAGTAAAGTTGTCCACAGACAGAACGACAGACAGACACGACTGAAAAAATTACATCACCATCGGCGGAGGRAATAAAACAATAAAAACAAAAATAACACATTATGTCTTTTACTTACCACAAATGCTATTTTAACATCTCTGAATTGGCAAATTTTTAAACCAATTTTATTTTCACTTTCATAGTTTTATTTTCAACGGCTTGTAAATTTAACTGTCTTACATGTTCATTAAAATGMTTTTTACCATGTCTATGTTTAACTAAAAGAACTTACAGTAATACAAGTAGAAAACTGGGAGTTTGGGCTTAAGAGATGAATGAACCAACTGGCGGGCCGAACTTTAGTCACTCACAGGCCACCAGTGGAGTATCCCTGTCCTAAAATCTGCAACACGACTGCACAGATCTGTCACTTTCTTAAATTCAAGTAAATAAAATTGTGTAAACTTTGAAACTTTTTCAACATTAGGAAATAAAAATCATTCAAAAAGTACTGAAAGTCAAAAATTACTTGTCACTTCAGTACTTTGTTTTCCTGTTAAAGCTGACCTCAAGCTTTGTGCTGCAGCTGGATGCTTTAAAGCAGCAGTTCTGTAGTGAAGCTGTGTCAAAAATAAAGTTTGACTCCTGTAGTTCCTCAGATTTCTTATCTACCTTTTCTGTAGGGAAGGATTACTGAAACGGTGAAAAAAAAGACTGTACACATTCAGAAGCTTTTAGCACACCGTGTACACCAAATTGTCTGTGGCACATCACYGATGTGATAACTAGATGTAATGTTTATTAAGATTGCAGCCCCTGCCTGTTTCAAATCGAACTTTAATTTACAAAGCCAATGAAACATTGGCTGATTAATCAGACAGAACCTTTCTCTTACAATTAGCAGCTGTGATAAGTTCACTGCTGCAGGTTATTATCAGCTACATTTATCTAATTTATCTAATTTCACATTTGTATTTGATTTTTTTTACCAATAACATTGCCATATATATATATATATATATATATATATATATATATATATATATATAAATACTGAGAGAGTTCAGCTGGTGTCTTGGCTTTCCATGCCTTTTTACACCTCCCTTTCTTCATGTGTTCAATACTTTTTCCCTGTGCCATTCCACATTATTACAAATAACTTCATTTCTGGACATTTATGGTTTGATTTCTTTGTATGTATGGATCATTTGGGTTGTTACTGACATCTGGTGAAAATTTCATGTCATTAGCACCTCTAGTAATATATTTACTGAGAAAAATGTTGACGTGTTCAATACTTATTTTACCCGCTGTATTTTTTCTCAATCTATTGGCTTTTTTTTATAACACGTTTTGTCAAAAATGCAGAACTAAAGAATAGAAAATAAGAATATACATACACACCATCTTAAAGGAATGGTTAGGGTGATGTTTACTTAAAAAGTTGAAAACTTAGTTGTGACATCAGGCAAAATTAAATACAAGTTTAAGTAATATTCAATATTTAGACAGACTTACCCCCTTTTTTATAGAGGTGGGATAATTTAGACAACTGAAAATTCATTTAAGATTTACGTGATGCAATAGATTATAAACCAATTTACACATTTTAATTATCCTGAAACTGGAATGACTCATGACTTARCTTAGATTAATAAATACTGATTTAAAGATTTTGATAACTAATAAAGAATGCAAAAAAACAATGTGAAAAAAATTCTATTAATCACAGAATTATGACCAATCATTAGCAAAGATACCAACATTAAAAACATCATAGAAAATCTAACATGATTAGCGTAGTGTTTATTACTAGAAATGTAAAATTGTTCTGTAATTTTTCCCTCAGGGAACAGTTAGTCCTCCAACACAAAACTGTGTCACTCTGATCCAAAACTGCATTCTGGATTCTAAATTAAAAKGCTGACAACCAACAAGTCGATGAAACTGTTTCACTCTGTTATTTATCATGTAATCATTATGCTGTCATTTTGAGCTGTGGTTGAAAAAATATATAAAGAAAGAAAGCTGTTTTCAGTACTTTTAAACTTCAAAATTAAAAAATAAATAAATTAAAAGCACATTCGGTATTGTATTCAACTGAACAACCCTGACAGCCTCTTCAATCTGCTGATCATTTCTGACTGAGCTACAAATGTCCTTTTCTTATGAGGCGGTTTCTGTGTGAGATTTACCAAAAACTCTCTTGTGTTTGGAACATAAAAAAAAGGATAGGGAAGCTAAAAAGATGCGTTGSAGCAATATCTGCTAAGACCTTTTTGTCATGATGGTGGAGTGATAAAATTCAGCCTAGAAAAAAAGGGGAAAAGAATAATAAAAGTTTGAAAAGTTGTTAAAAAAAACATTAAAAGA